CCACAACTTTATAATGTGGAGAAATAGAATATTGTAACAGAAAACAACAAACAATGCTTGAGGGCACAGATATGACCACATAAATGCTACTGTGATCAACTTAATTCTGGTAAGGAAATCCTCCCAATTTTATCTCTCAAGAAACTCACCAATTGCAAAGATGTGAAGAGTGCCAAGCTAGGATGTGTATCCTTTTAGAATGGTGCAGCTGAGTTTGCACTTCTATGAAATATACATATAGGTGAGCCTTCTAAGTCTACATTGTGCGTAATGCCATCTGACCACCTCCTTATTTGGCAGAAACTGGAATTTGTCCTTTGATTTAAGACACAATGTTTTTATCCAGCTTAAGTTCAACTAATGGCACAGGAACTGAAGTATGTCTGTACTTCACATGTAATTCTATAGTAATTACAATCTAGTGTGGCAGTGGTATAGATTTTCTACACCACTGTAGAGAAAGGATAATGCAAGATAGGATACTTTCATAATTCAGATTCAACTGAATGTATTATAATTTGTATATTTAAAACACAGAATAGTTTGCTTACAGTAAAATAGTTCATAACAAGACTTGTACTCCCTAGGAAACAGTGTCTGAAAATACTATCCTTTCAACACCAATTCAGTGATATTTATTGTAGTACATTCCAATATAAGTTTTTTTACAGCAGAACAATACTAGCGCTGTTCTCATCTCCAATTTACATTAGTGTAAATTTTCAGTCTCTCATTTGACACTATATACAGTATAACCTTTCAATCTCCTTCCTCCCAGAGTAACAACTATTATCCCTTGTCTTGTCTTTCTCCACTTCAGAATAAGGTCATTCTAACATGTAGATCTAACAAGAAATACAATGTATTTTCATTGATTTGTGTTGTCACTGATTACGCCTTCGTGTTATACAGTGATCTGTATAGTAAAGGACATTCCGTGTTGTCATGAAAAGCCAGTCCTGTGGAACAGATTCTGTACCCCAGGCTCCCTCAGTTTATTTATTAGCTCTTGCTTTTTATAAAATGAGCTTTCTGACAATAGCGTTCAAAATATTTACCATTATTAATCGATCAGTAGAACTGAATATTTGGCGGTAGTATAGAATTTTTTCACTGTTTTTCCCCAGAGACTACTGTTTTATCATAGTCTTCTTCAGAGATTGGATCTTCCAGGCTCAGGAAAGTTAGAGCTTTTTGTCACTTGATTATTGGAAATATCTCCATTTAATTTATGGTGGAATATTGTAAACTCATTCCATCCTGGTAGGACAGTGCCTGCTAGAGAATCTGTACAAGTGTGTAACCAGACCATCACCAACATCTTTATTGTGTTTTTACTGCAAAAGTGGTCACTTAGAAGAGGACTGTGAAGTGGAAGACAGCTGCTGACTATCCTTCCTTGGCATTTTTTTTCTGTGTTCAATTTTTCACTGATTCTGACTTGCTATGTCCTCTGAAAAAAAGAAGAAACTTCTAGGAGAATTCCACTTCTAAGATGGGGCACTAACAGTAATTGACTGACTGCCTCCCACCCAATTTCTATTACATATATTCGGGATGATGCATATCTTGGCAGACTTTCTTAGGATTTGCTAGATATCCATGTCTGTATAGGTGTGTTTATGATAGAGATTAAGTTCTTATAGCTGTGTTAAGTAACAAGAAAGCCTATGTAGGGCAATCTGAAAATGCATACTTAAAATAAGATAGAATGTAAAGCAAGTCACTTTTCTATATTTGATTAACAATTAATAAAGTTGCTACTTTGTTCTGCCAGAATACTTCAAAACTAGTCCTTCATTATCACTGAAGATTTTAAGACAAAAATAAACTGCAGTAAATTTATTGCATATTTGTGCTGTGTACTATTTTCTAGATTGTGCCTTGTGTCTGTTACTTCAGCTTGTGCAGAATGTAGGTTTTTGAGACCTAAACTGATCAGTACCTACTCGAGGTCTTCAAAGCCTCTTTGGATTTGCAGTTGATATCAGTAGAACAGGGACAAAAAAAATGCTTAAGTACAACAGTGAGATAGATGAATTCATACAGAAAAGAAATCAGAGAGATCCATCTGAAACTCTACACTGCCTGAGTTTGAGCTGCTGTAAGTATTTACAATAGTTGAAGAGAAAAATTTGGTTTAAAAACAAAAATAGGTGATTTATAGAGGGATCATATGGCTGAGGTACAAGAACTGGGACACAATTGCTTGTATTCAGGATTCATAGAGTATGATGTTGATGGAGTTCACAATTCTCAGTACCAGAGGGCCTTCTAGCTGTGAGGAAGAACTAGTGGGTTATCATTCATCTCTCTCCGTATATTTACTTACTCTTTCCATCCCGTTTTTCCTTTCTCCCACTATTCTTTTTCATCCTCATTTTTCTTCTCCCATTTTTTCACATACAATAAAGATTTGCCTATTTACAAATATTTTTGCAAGGGAAACATCTGTGAAAAGCTGCTTTCTTTATTTTTCTGGTTTCTTATTTTAAAATATAGAGGAAATTATAGGGAGATGAATTAGAAAACGCAAAAAAAATGTGTATGTGAAGTATTAGGATAGTTGTGATATTTGAGAAATAGAATGTGTTCATATAGTTCAGAGCTGAGTTTAAATTCATATGTGTGATGTTCCAGAGTTTAGGCTACATGCAAATTGCGTCCTTTTGGAGTACTGGGGCAGGGAAGGAGCTTTTCAACAACAGCCAAAAAAAACCCCCAAAAAACAAAAAATCCCATCCAAAAAAACACCCAAAACCCATAGGAAAAAAGCAAGAATTACTTATCTTTATTTCCAAATTCATCCTGAAAATCAGGGAAATTATTTGCTTAATGTTTTCTACCAGATTTCACCTCTAGGCTTAAAACAATCACAAAAGATTGTTACTGATAATGTAATTGTTTTAGAAAGTCACTCACAACAGGGCTTTAGACTGAAAGTGTCACGTCAACCATAACTAAAATAAAAACAACCAGTGAATAACTGCTTTCTGGTAAGAGTAAAATGAAAGAACAAATTCATAGCCTTACATGGGCAATACAAAATGCTCAGCTGGAAGATTATCCTTACTAGTGAACAGTCCTTTGAAAAAACAATTTGATTAGGAGCCCCTGTATACTATGGAAGGGGATTGTTTATCCGCTTAGAGGAAAATGTACTCTGGGGTGGAAGGGGAACAAGAAGGTGATGATGTTTGGGAAGGTGACGATGTTTGTTTATTTGCTGCTTTTAGTCATTTATGAGTTATATAAACAGCAGTTTTAATTATAGTTGCTGAAAGAGCATGTTTTGTAGCTCTCTCGCACCTTAACGTTTTACTCTAACGGGACAGTCCCAACTAGTTAGTCAGGTAATGTAGTCAGGTAATGTTTCTTCATTGATCACCCTGCTGGTTTAATTTTCCATTATTTTAGACTAGCTGTGAAAGCCTTGTATTTCATTTATGTACACAGGAAAAGACCTGAATGGTTTACTTGGAATTTTTATCTCTTATCTACTTGGAAAATTGCTAGTATTTTGGGTTTTTTTTTTAACTTCTCAAAAACATATTGGGGTCTACTGCCAAACATAACAAATCTCACTGGAAGAAGCAACTGAGAGAGAAAGCTGTAAATGTTTGAAAGAGACATTTTAAAATGAAATGGAATTTCCAGGTCAGCTACATTATTACTCAGCAAAAATTGCACCAAGGCAAGGCATAGGCAAATATACGTAACTGTTATTACCACAAGCTATAAAGACATTCCAACCTTCCTTCAGACTTTCCCTACTGAAATTCTTCTGTGCCCACTTCCCTTCACTTGCCTGCATTTTTCCTAGATTTTGCAGGTTTCCCTTCTCCTCTCGAGCCCTTTCGCTGCTTTCTCTTTACAGCTGCTGTTGTTCTATAGATCGGTAACTCTGTCCTGCTGTCAGCAGCTGAGCAAACTCTTCACTTCCCTGCCTCCAGCAGCAGAAAATGCAAGAGAGTCCTTATACAAAATTTCCTCCATGCTTGTTGCATTTGCTTGCCATAGCAGCAAATAGTTAAGCAGGCATTCTCCTCCTAATGGAAATACGAGTATGTAGTTACACAGAAGTGGAAGTTTTTGAAGCATTACCAGAATTTGTAATGTGTTTTTCTTTTGGTGAAGCATATTAAAAGAAAACAATAACATATTGGGCCCAAAGTGCTTTTGAACTTACTCTACCCTCTGTTCTTTGTCCTGTTCCTAGGGGCAAGTTTGGCAAACAGCAGATTTCATCCTTTTATCATCTGGTTCTCTGAGTCCCAGAATCAAACTGATCACCACAGCTGCAGTTCTCTGAGTCCCAGAATCAAACTGATCACCACAACTGCAATAAATAAAGTGTCTGTTCAATAAGTTATGATACCAAATATTATTCAACATTCTTCTGGCCAGGCGCAGAGTCTGATGCGCAGAACAGCACATCTCACTTACCGCCTTTTTCCTTGCAATCAAAATTGTTGAGTAATCAGTGGGTGCCAGATACGGGAAAGCAGAATGTGAATAATGCCAATTTGCTTGGTTTTGTTTACACTTATTATTTAAAAGAAAAATGCCTATAGCGATATGGCTTTCTCCAATTATGAAGCACAGGTGATGTGTTAACAATATCAGGCTTGAAGCCTGTAAGAAACGTGATTTTATGTATCTACCTGCTCTGTCATAGTGCATGATTTCTAATATATTTCTAATTCGTGTCCAGACATTTTTATGCAGCATTTGATTGGATAAACATCTCATGGAATATTTAGCACATTCACTGATAGAAACTTTCATAGTTCTATTGTATCATTCGGGAATACACTGTATTTTTGTCTGACTTAATTGTTCAACCTTTTTGGCTGTCATGCAAGGAGAAAAATTATGGTGTGAATCATTTGGTTAAATTTGTTGCAGTCTAAAAGTGTTTGTTTTAAATGCATTCTTTCTGATTTTTTTTTTTTAAAAAGTTCCGTTGTGTTTTTTTTCTCTTTGTTTTCTTTCTCTAGGCTGAGGTTCAGCTATGCTATCTGGAAGCACAAAGAGATGCTGTTGAACAGATGTCCTTAAAACTGTACAGTGAGCAGTACAACAGTAGTAGCAAGCGAAAGGAAGAGTTTGCTGATATGTCAAAAGTTCACACAGTGGGAAGTAATGGGTAGGGAACTATTCTTTTTGTTGTTTTATTCTCACTGATCTGTATTTTTTTTTACATGATACACTTTTTCTTACTTCTAGTTAACCAGGATTTTTCTTCCTAGGCCAAGAGCAAGGGAAAACTTTCCCTATTTATTTTTTTTTGTATATGAATGCAAAAAAATAATGGGTTCTGGATAATTTATCCAAATCATGGCTTTATCCAAATCATACCTAACATGATCGAATAGCAATCATTATTTTGATTTTAAAAAATGTAATGTGTCCTTTTGCTTCAGGCTTTTATCCTCCAATGGCTTCATGTCTTTTGATTTCTTGGCATCTTCCAACTAAGCAATTCTATAACGTATTAATACCTCTGCAAGACACTTCTCTATAATCATTATTCTACTAGACTAGAAAATATGAATGTGAAGCCATTCACTTATAGTTCACCAGTTCGAACATCCCAGTTTTTTACTTCTAGAAAACTTTAACTGTTTTCCCTTGACCTGGTCTTCTCAGTCTGTTTTTTAATAAATGTAAACACACATATAGTATGTATGTAAGTGTGTATATATAAAAGCATTAATTCTTAATAGTTTGAGCAAAGAATCTTGACAAGTTATGGACTATGCTAAAAAAAGTCTTTCTGCCTTTCCCTTTTTAACAACCAAGAAAACTTGTAGATCTGGTCTTTTTCTTGAAGATCTTTTGAAAATTGTATCTTCCAACTGCTAGCTCCTTTAAATGGACATAAACCATACCTGTGAGTTCATAATAGAGTGGGGCAAAAGCAGTTTGAAGGAGCCAGCTAGTGCTTATTGTTTGGGTAAACCAACATCCTGGTACAAGTTTTCTTGTAACTAGTAAATAGAGTAGAACTTTTGCCTGCGGTTTCCTATGCAAGGAAGGTATTTGACCAAGGTGTTCATGAGTTCTTTATCTCCAGAACTTCCTTTTCCAATTCTTAACTCAATGTTGAGGTCTTGGAAGCACAGTTTTATTAAATTACCGACTGTGAAGATAAATGAGCCTTGTAAACATCCCCTCTTATTATATGGAAAGATGACTGTTTTAGAAAAGTTGATGTGGGCTAATTACGTAGGATTACTGAGATCCTGATTACATATGCAGAAATCTGTCAGATTCTCAAACACACCAGTGCAGCTAGTGCCAACCATAAAAATAATTTGTTCAGAATTGGTGTGTATGTGTATATAAATGTGCACTGGGGGCTACATCTTCAAAAACAGCTTCTAATTTTGCAGCCACAGTTGAATGTGAGCAAGACTTAAGGTTGTCATTTTGTGTGGGACGCAAGACAGTAAGGTATCAACAGACATTTGATTTTATTGAGGACAGGGTATATAAAGCTTTAAACCTCGTGTAAAAATCCAGTTTATAACTCTACATACCATTTGTATAAAGAAAACAGGCTCTTAAATGCACTTGTTAGCACTTGTAGTTGCATGCTTATTACTGTAGTTACATGCAATTACTTATACACTGGTAGTGCTCCCTACATTTTTTGTGCTGTGGCCACCTTTCTGGGCCCTTACGTTCATCCCAGCCCTTAGAAGCTCAACAGTGGCTTAAGGGGCAAAGCATAGGAGGGAGACAGATACAATACAATGTATTCAGCCATTATAGGAACTGGAGTGGGCTGAATTCAGATGGAAAACTTCCAGCTGAACCAGTCTGAGTTATTGTATTGAACACAATGGAAATGCCTTTCAGCTCTTTGAAAATACAGTTCATACAACATCTCCCTACTGCATAAATGCTGTGGACAGAAAAACTGTGGACAGACATTCCACAGTAGGTTGACCTAGCTAGAGACCGAGATCTCTGCAGAGAAGGGGCCATTTACACAACTGGGAAAACGATGTTACCTATCCATTATCTGTTGTAGAAGTTTGGCCAAGGAGAAAGAACAGTGTCTACAGGGAGAACAAGAGTTATAGTAGCTGGAGAAAATTGTTTATGTAGTGGGGGAAAGATCTGGGACATGGCTTTGTGTAGGAAATAGCTAGACTGAGATAGGTAAGGAAGGATCTGCAGAACAGGGTGATGCCAGTGGGTGTGTAAAGAACAGATTTCCTGCAGAGCAGCGATCCTGTTACAACAGTGATAGAGAGCGTTCTCGTGTATCTGCATGGAAATGACTAAAGTGATAATGCAAGAGAACAAATATCCGCTGCAGGAGAACTCCAGCTAGCCAGGCAGCAAGAGGTAACCAAGAGCAGTTGAGAGCAGCTGTAAAATGTTGTAGCAGATCTGGCTGGAGATATTACGTCTCCTCGGAACCAGGGAGGAATTTATACAGGTACTATTGGGAGATACAGTTATGATATTTACAACATCATTGCACAACATGAAGGACAGATCGTGGAATCCTGTCATACCTAGTATTGGGCCTTCATGGATGAGGCTTTGAGAGAAATGCATTAAAAGGGACTTCAGGTATGCAGAATATAAGGCAATTTTAAAGCTGTTGAAGTCATAACTCTTATTTCTCCTACATCCTCCTAATAAAAACATGTGTATGGAAAGGAGTTCCAAAACCCAGAACCTTGAAAGAACTTTTTGTCTGGCTGCATTTTTTTGGAAGGCATACCAGTGTGTTTACAGTATTTCTAAATACCATGTGAGTTATGCCATCAAAGAAATAATACAAACTGGAAGTGTGTGTTAAACATGGGGAAAAAGGCTGATGGAAATAGCTTCACATTCCTTTTTATTTATTAATGCCACAGACGAACTGGTTTTCTCATGAGAAAGGTGCTCATGAATTTTCATTCAAAATAATAAATCGATGTCCACATTTTAAGAAATATGTTTAGGGTTCAAGGGATTAGACATGCAACTCTGCATATCTGATTCCCTGTTTACTGAGATAAAATATACTTCTTAATGTCATTTCATTTATTATGTAGCTAATGGTTTTAGTTTATTAACCAACCAGCCTGTATTAAGGAAGCTATAGTTACCTGCTCTTTAACTAATATTACAGCATTCTTGTTGGCAATGTTTGGGTACTTTTAGTTGAGGAATATTTTTTTGCAATAAACAGATGACCTAATTTATTCTTTTTTAGCGATTGGTGGATTTGGATAATCAACCAAAATTAGATCTTTTCTGTAGTTCTTGCGTCTGTAACACACATCAGTATTTCAGAAGTTATGCTTTCCCTGATTCTGCCTGTGGCAATATGAAAAAAAGATCTGCTAATCCCAGGAAAAATAGATTCTGAATAAGAAAGAAATACTCAATATACCACAGAAATACTGACAAGTACATTTTAATCTTAACCTGTCACTGATCTTACAATTGCTGGATGTTCTCAACATCTTTTTAGCGGCTTAGTAACTTACATCCTTTTCGAAACAGTAATTTAGTAGTAATCAGTAGATCCATCCATTTAGATGTGAGGCATTCATTTTACAAACAAATTTTTTTAACATTATCAGAGTTATTTTAAAACTATTAAAAATATTGTAATAAAATTCGAAAAAAAAAGAAACATAGATGATGCTATGTAGGCTGACTTCACTATCTTCAGGCTCAGGCAAATAACTGCCATAGACAGTTTGCTTAAAAATGCTCCCAGATGACTTTATTTTACAGCAGAAAACTGAAAAAAAAGAGAATAGGCACAGTATGTAAACCATGGGGGGAGAAAAAATCCCCACTATGTCTTGTATCCCTTCCTGGGCTTTTTCCGGTGAAGCCTGTTTCTCTCACTCTTTGTTTTGGGTTGTGCTGTTGTTTAGAACTTCAGCTAGAAATCAGAATGTTTGGCTGTTTCCTAGTGCTTATCTGGGTTTTATAAAGGTCAGGGAAAGTGCTTTTGTATGTTTGTAAAGGATCAATTCATTCTATTGCACCAATACACGGACAAAATTGGACTGCAACTAAGATGTAGTTCTACAGATGCAAAGCAGGTGTTTGGATCCAGCACCAGTACTTTACAGTAAAATCCCAGTCCACTTCCTGGTGGAGCTTCCAAAGGCACCCCATCCCATTCTGGCAGCAGCAGGTCATGAACGTTAGATGTAGGCTTTCATTCCCGTCATCTCCATATCTCAATTCAGATTTTCATGGGCACAAACCAATCAAGTCCAACTGAATCTGCGATGATTTATATGAGATGAAATCTAGCATCTTATAAAACATATGTTTTAATAACTGCCTGTCAGTTTTATCACTTGGGATAATATTTGGATAAGGCAGAAGAGGAAAAAAGGAGCAGTAGATACTGAAGATACAGAAGGGTTATACAGTTTGCTGAGGAAGGGATAAAGATTCAGTATCACTGCAAATACACCATTCAAAATCGAGTTTAGTTTTATTTTAGTTTCAAAATTATATCTGAGTCAAATACCTCCTGAAACAGGAGAAATGCCCTGAACTCCAGATGAAACTATTATATTTCAACAATAGTAACTTGCCCTTTTATGCTTGCTCTTCTATAATAGCATCATCGCTTACCTTCTCAGGGCAGCAGGCAATTTTAAGTAAGTGCACCTCATAAATTATTGAGTAAAAGTATACTAAGTACAGTGGATTAAACTAGAGAGTTACTTCAGAAGCAGGAATCAACACTTGTGCATTATACAAGACTTCCTTTGTTGTCAACTCATTGAAAATAATACCACAGAAGGCAAATGCTTTCTTCTCTCTGGCTTGCTTGCTTGCAGAAAGACAGTGCTACTTGTCACAACTTTATCTATAAGCTTTAAAAATTGCCATGCATATGGCACTCTAGTTAGTAACAAGTGAAACTGCGATAGTATTAATAACGTTAAAAGCATATTTAGTTTATTGTTTCTCTGTTGAAATACTGCTATTTTTTTAATGCCATTGTTAAAAAAAGTTGTAAATAATTGGAGAAATTATCTTTAGTGGAACATGCACTATTGTTTGATCAATACAGGGCGTTTTTTGATACTACTGACAAGGCTTTTGTTAGTTCCAGTTTTGCAAGTTTGAAGATCCCTTTCCAAGGGGTATCTTTCTGACAAATGTGCAGTTTTTCAGCATGCACCTTCTGTCTTGTATCACAGTGTTTTAGAAGAATCTAAGCTTCACTTATTCACCAGACTTTCAATAGAGAATCACGTTAATCCTTTTAAGCTCCTTATTCTAATGATTTATTTTGTTGAAAACCGTAGTGATCCTCCTTTGAATTTTAATGATTGCTGGCTATTCAAGGATTCATTGTTTTGACTTCCTGTCCTTACCTTTGTTTCTTACATGTCTGTAGGGAACACCTGTCTAATACTGTATCTGGCCTTAGTTCTCACTGGCTTACCATATTCACTCAAGCCTATCTTAAGGCGTTAAGTTGAAATGCTAGCTACTCATCCATGAAAATAAATGTAGGATATTTACAGAGATAGGCAGCTAGACAGCAGAGCGACGGCTGAATGGATTGAGTCATTTTTTGATGAAAATAGTATTTTTATATGAATTATATCAAGACGATCGTTGCAAAGTTTGCTCAGTATAAAGTCAGCACTTCAAAAACCATTAAACAACAACATTTGTGGGGGATTTCTATTTCAAAATTTTTGAAGCAAATGCAGTATGCCAAAAGTTGTCAGGATTTGGCATCGGCCGCTGAATTTAGATCGTGGCACTGGTTTAAATTGGATTTCAGTTTTCATTTTCATCCACTCTGTATAAATACAGAATGTCTCTTTAGAAATACAACTAGGAACATCATGAGTTTTCAAGAATATATTATTCTAATACAAGATTTTAACAACTACACAGTATTTATGCATAATACATTTTGTTCCTTATCTACAGCCTTTTGGACTTTGATTCAGAATACCAGGAGCTCTGGGATTGGCTGATTGACATGGAATCCATCGTGATGGACAGCCATGACCTGATGATGTCAGAGGAACAGCAGCAGCATCTTTACAAGGTTAGCGCTACCGCTACTGCCTTTACCTAGCTATAGAAGATCTGATTAGCTTGACAAGTCTTTCTCTCACAGGATATCGCTGCGTTCATTGTATGTATCATGGTGTCTATTAGAATTCCCTTCCCTGTCCCCAACCTCATTTCCATCCCCTGTGCGCTGACAGGCTGCACCGACATCATAATTGCAAGAAAGTTCCCTTTATCACATTCTATTTGGTGTAATTCTATAGAAGGACAAAGATTTGTCTTCAAGATGAATAGAAATAAATGAAACTGCATTAATAAATAGACTGAAACAAAATGAAGGAAAAAAATGAAATGGTAGCATTTAACAAAATGTGTTTTGATTGGAGCTTTCAGCTGGATTTTTATCCACCTTTCAGACCTCTTCTGGGAAGAAAGAAATTTGCCTTGATTTTGGTTTGCTGCTGCCAGGATACAGGACTCTTCCAATTTAATTTTTATTAGTGATACATAAAGCAGACATTGTCATGTTAAGTCATATACATATATATATATATATATTTATGGATATACACACACACGATTTCTCGTATTTGTTGTAGCAGACTCAGCCCAGAAGCTTTATCACTTCTTTTAGATAGACAGTACTTTTAAGAAGTTCCCCAAAATGTGTGATTTGATCCTAAAATTGATTCAGGCTTCACTGTGTGTCTGAGAAACTGTAGTCTACAGGTCTGAGGGGTGGTGGGCGAAAGAAAGGAGGGGCTTTCAACAGAAATATCAGGCTGCAGTAAATCTTCCTCATTTAGGCAATTTTTATTGGAGTAATTCTGACAGTTGTCATCCTTGAATTGCTTTGAGCATATGGCATATTTCAAAGAGCAGATTGTGAATCATAAAAAATAAAATTAATAACTAACCACAGAATCAGCAACAGTATAATGACAAGAAACAACTACCCTCTAGCTTTTTTTTATTTCTTATCAAATAAATGGTGCATTCAAGGTCAAATAGAAGTTGTTTTCTTTCTTGTAGGATTGCATGATTTTATAATTTCTTAAACAGAATTTATTTTTTCCTTGCTTTGGCATCCTAATTTCTTGATGGTCTTCTTGCATTTTATTCTTTCTAATTTTAGTCCTTCTATTTAAAATACCCAGTGAGAAAGGGTTGTTAAATTAATTCAAATATGTTTGTAAATGGAAATATGGTTCAGGTCCAAACTGTGCTAGGCTACAACTGAGTTTAATTCAGTGGCCTCGATGTCTTGCTTTGACAATCAATTCTTATTTTTGCTAACATCTTTTTCCTAACTTTCTAAGTACTTAATCAGACTCAGTCATACATTAACAAATCCTGGCCCTGGCTAGGCCCAGAAATAAACAATGTCAGAAATGGGTAAAAAGTTTCTTGTGAATCTAAAATAAGGTGGTTTGGTGGTGCCTGTCCATATAAGACCAGTTTGTACCATGCCCAATCTAACTACTAGTTTTAGTCCTATACTAAAAAAATAAATAAACATAAATTTTAAGGAAACGATCCATCCATCAGGATGAAAAGGAACAAAGCTTGAGCAGTCAGCCCGAGTATTTTAGGTGCTATTTAGGCTACTTCCCTTTCCGATATCCAAATGTAACAGTTAAGAATAATTATAGATGGTAAGGCTGATATAAATAATGCATGTTGAGAAGAGGGCAATAATTTAAGAATTATTCTGCCGGACAGTCTGGTAGCAAAATGAGGAATATTGCATATTCAAAATGGGAAGTAATAGTCTCTTAATATTATGAAATTCTGTATTATGATAGGCATGACACTTCTGAAAGCACAGAGTTTGTGCCAGAGAGAGCAGCCGAGTGTAGTCTGCGCAGCACAGACAGACCAGCCCCGCTTCCAAAGCGCAGGCAGCTTATTTGCTGTGCAGGTTCCGCAGGGAGGGCATCTGCTGTTTAACAGAGCCCCCATCTCAAAGCACCTACCTGGTCACTGCGAAACCACTGGAAGCAGGGTAGAAACAGGCGGCCTGCCCTCCCGCAGTGACTATCCTCTGCATACACCTTTCTAGTGAGAGCAGCAAGCAATTTGTTAAGGACTGAAGGAAAGACTAAACTAGAAGTGTGGAGTTTGGTTAAGAGATGATTAAGGAGTGTCCACAAAGCAGGAGGAGTGTTTGCAGGTAATGTAAAAAGCTTGACTGCATACTATTAAGATCTATTAGCCTTTCAAAAAAAAAAAAAAAACCCCACAAAAAAACCCCAAACCACAAAACAACCACTTCCCGAAGAAGTGTTGAAAGCCCCATAATTTCAGACATTTAAAAGTAGACAAAAGAAAACATTAGCAAATGTAATTGAGGGAGCAGTTCTGCACTAGCAAAAGAGAGATCAGATAAATCGCTAGGTCTTTATCATCCTTAATTTCAGAGATTCGCCTGACAATTAATCATGCCCGCAAAACCAGTATTAATAGTTTTACAAAACTAGCCTAGTAAACCTGTCTTCTAATCAGTAGTGCCACCCTTGTCATGTGGAGGATCTTCTGCAGAGCCATGGATGGTCTAGTGCTCCCAGCTAAGGGCAGGAGCAGTGCCTGCGCTTCCCTTGAGCACGGCCATTCGGGTCTGCAGGGAGAGAAATCTGCGGAGAGAGATTCAGGCAGCGATTATTCTCAGGATTCCTCAGTTATGCGGGGTGTTGCGAAAACACAGGTCTTGCTGCAGTCTTTATCAGTCACAGCTTCAAATGTGGACCTGCTAGCTGCACTCTCTGCCTTCTGGTGGATTCTCCTCAACCCACAGATCCCTTCTCAGTTACTGAGCTGACACATAATAGCACCTCTGAGCCAGCTCAGCACGCCACCTCTGCCAGGGAGCCTGCTGTGGTATCCCCATCACCAACAGTAATCATTGCCCCTAAGGAGTCTAGGAATGGGAAGGAGCAATGATAAAACAGGTAAATCGGAAGGCAAAAGCATACATTAAAGCAGCATAATGTAATATATAAATGCTAAAATTGCATATGGGAAAATAAAATGTATTTTCATGGTTAGACTATTTTCCCAGTGCTCTATTTTCAGATTTAATACAGATTTAAGTCAACTCTCAGCTTAATTTTGTTTTGTAATATTCCAGGAGCTTCACTGTTTTTTATTAGGATCTTTATTATCTCTCTTTAACTAGGTTTTGTTTTGCCCTTACTATAATAGGAGCAGCACAGACTTTTTTTTCTTTTAGCTCTGAATACATATGTGTGACTTTCTCTAGATTCCCTAGATTTCAGTGCAAAGATTTACAAAAAGACAAAACTATTCTTCCTCACTATGCTCCCCATAGCCCTAAGTGATTTCAGCTTTACAGTCTTCAACTAGCTAATGATTTTGAGAATCAACTGGTGTTTGATAAAATGGCAGTCATGGAATGAATCGCTGACAGTTTATTTGTCCTCTAATGCTTTATCTATTAACAAAGAAAAAATTACAAGGAGCATTTCCATGTTTTTGGACTCTTGCTTCTTTGTACTGCTGTAATAGCTCAGTTTAATGCCAAATGTATCATGTTTTTTTCATTTTAATGTACTGCATGTGAGCCTGATCCCATAAGCTCTAAGTACACAGAACTTGCACTGACTTCAGCTGTGTTCGTATGCTGTTACAGGCGGATCAAACTCAAAGAATTTAAACTCTGCTAATTAGCCCTTTAGTGGGAACTTGAGTAATTCTGTACCTCGAATGTTCAAAAATGAAGCAAATCAGTATTTACTGGAACTGTGGAGATTAGAAATGAGTGTACTAGACAGAAAAGTTGATGATAATTCTTTCCATTTTCCTCAGAAGATTAATTGCAAAACTTAATTGTGTTAGATTAAAACCCCATTTAAATAAGTACAGTATGACTGTTGAAATTGTTAGTACGCTCAGAATGGAATTAACTAAAGGTTTTTAAATATCAAATAAGAGAAATGGTACATTTCTGTCTGGTTACAAGTAAGGTATGGAGGTTTTACCGCCGACCGCAGACGCCGTGCGCCTTGCCCTGGTGACTCCCGGCGGCGGCAGCGCGCAGGCTG